GGGGGGGGGAGGGCAGGGAGGGGCTGCCCGAGAAAAAGACTCGGCCGAGTAACGACTTGATCACAGCACGTATATGTACGATCGCATGTAAGGACGGATGGTGCGTGTATCACGCGTGCATCGAGTCGTGCAATGCGAGCACTCGCACGCGCCATGTTACGTCTTATGAGATGGGCTGGGTCGTCTCGTTAGTTGGGTAGTACGCGATGCGTTTTGCTTTAGTACTTACAGGAGTACGCGAGCGAGCCCGCCGCTAGAACGAGCGCATACACGAGACACTTGAGAGTGGTCATCGTACCATCGCCTTGGACTGGGGAACGACGTCACTATCTTCGACGGAAGCGTCTACCACACGGACGATACTACGACGACGAAAACGAGAAGCAGCCACGCCAGTCAGCGACGACCTGCCGTCGCCACCACCTTTCTCTCTCTCTCTCTCTCTCTTTTTCTCGTCACCTCCTCGCTCGGCCGATACGAAATGCTTATCACTCGTGCAGCTTTTACCCGTGCACGACGTGCAGCGAATCCCTCACACACACACGACGTACACACGACGCGTCGACGAGCACGGAAGCAGGAAGAATCCCGCCGAGAAGAAGACGGTATCCTCGTGGCAAATCTCACTCCGTTCCGAATTTCGAGTATTTTACACGATACACGCGCTACGACCACAGGCACACCACGAGTGAACGAGTCGAGTGACGTGATCGGACGAAACGCCGCGCCTCGTGTTGAATCGTTCCGATGTATCAAATTAGTCACTCGACGACGCCACCACGGTCGGGTGAACTGCAAAATGGCGGTGTGCGCACGGTGGTCATCGGACGTCACCTAGGCGTGTAGCGGCTCCCGCGTTGCCCGCTGGCGAGATCCGCGGCTTACCACTGTCGGTAAGGAGTGACCGTCGGAACGTCGGTATTGCAGCGATCGAACGGATTTTGTTTCGAGCTTCGAGCCGATGTTGACCCGAGTCGCGTCGATCCCGGCGAATCAACTCTTGACCGAAGCTTCTTCCGTTACATTGTTAGTGGCATTAATGGGGCTAATCACTCTTCTGTGCGCCTGAAGCCAAATATTGAGAGAGAGAAAAGGAGAACTTTCCTCATTATCTTGAAGGTTAAGTAGCTCTTGTCATTTGTCCCGTTTTGACTGAACCCTTCCCAGACAACAGACGACATTTATAAAATATTTTAAACATAGATATTAAATATTTTGTAAATATTCAAATGTCCGGGAGAAAGTTAGGTGTGACAGAGATTATGATGAATATTCAAAAATATTTACCAGAAGGATATTGTTCAATATTCATCACACGTCTTTCTCATGCCTGAAGGATATTTGAGTATCTACAAAATATTTAATATCTATATTTTTGAGATATTTTATAAATATTGTGTGCCACCTGGGTGCACAGTGCTGCACTGAAACTTTGTTCCTTTTCCTCCAATGTTAGGTTATATATACTTGTTTCACTCTTAAAGCCAAAAGTGCAATCTAGTTTGGTTGAAACGGACAAACCTATCGTTTTGAGTTTTTAATTTTAATCGAAAAGCATATTGTACTAAGAAACAATTCATATATTCGTACACATGATACATTAATAATAACATAACAGTAATAACATGTATGTCCAAAAGACATTTCAGAAACATCCGTTGAATGTCTTGTCGTCTCAAAGCCGCCTTCACAACGTCTTAGGACGTCTTAATTTTAGTTTTTTAGAAATAAGTAAATCTCTCGCGGGACGCACAATATCGCACTTATGTCTACACGTTTTTCGCTCACTCTTCGAAACTGATTTTGGTATCTTTCTTTTTTTATACAGTCTTCCACAAGAATCACGCTAATAACTAATCGTCAGTCGTGCGCGTGTTTTGTGCCTGAGACATGTCTATGGAAACGGCATTGTTGTCCTTCGTCGCAGGCACGGAGGATGTTGTATTCGGCTCGTTTGCCGCTTCCGCATTTCGGTCATGCGCGTCTGTGCAGGAAAACACGCTCGAATATGGCGGCGGCTCTTCGAATTTGGGCCCGTCGGGTGGGTCGCCGATGGTTAATGACACTCTTTGTACAGAATCCGACGTAGGTTGAGTACTACAAACGGACAATACTACAGACGAGTACGATGGTGGTAGGTCCGTGACTTGTCGAGATTCTCTCTATAAAAAAGCAGATGGTATTGAGAACATACGATGTAAAAAGCTCAATTTAAAAGTCGAAAAAATAAATTCGACGAAACACGATGATATGAAATTTATATATAAAATATTTATACATTAACATATTTTATATATGATACTTTTATATATATATATATATATATATATATATATATAATTACATATATTTATAATTATTTCTAATTGTATGAAAAATTTTTTCTAGTTAGATTTCATCTAAGAAAAAAATATGATTTTAGACGTCTTTAAGATATCTTTTAGAAATTTGTTCTGCCTGTGTAATTGACCAATCACATTATTCGATCAGTTCGATTAACTGGCCGATGCGATTGGTCAATTCGGTTAAATTAATTGTCAATTAGATTTCAATCATGTCGGTAGAAGCAGACATTAGTAACTTCCGTAATCCACGTTTACTTGAATAGCACAGAACCGGTTTAACATTTTCCACTGATGTGAACTATCGATGTTACACGTCACACGAGTAATTATGTTGTAACCATACAGTATGACGTGTAACATTAGTGGTTGCAGTATCGAGATTTATCATATCGTTTACACTGGTAATGCAGACGTAAATTACAGGTGTTACTAGTTAGATTTGAGATTGCCGTGTATATTGACTCTTAATACTTCACCTGCCGGCACCGCCGCTACACTTGGTTGAACACTTTTCTCGACGCTGTTCGCTGAACGCAGTTGATGAGTCTAACGAGAGATCTTAACTACGTAAAATTATTTAAAACCAAGTTTTATTGGATGTCGACTACGGTGCAAATTACTTCGAGAAGAAAGTCGTTCAAACCAGTGCAGTATTAATAAGTTTCCGGTCGGTAAAGTGTTATATCTATAATTAACATCTTAATATCTAATCTTTTAATATATATACTTGTGATGCACCATTTGACGTCAATAATACGTCATCGTATACGCAATCACACGTCATACATCGTATTCGCTAGGAATATAGATGTCGAACCAAACACAGAGATTGAGTGGCGAGAAATCACAACGATTAAGGAAAACGTAACGAAAGAACGATAGCAGTCGTACAATATGATAAAAAGAGTTCAACCGCGACCGAAGAGATAAAGCATAGCAGCCGAACAATCAAACTTACCAAATTCTTTGAAAAATCTCGGACAATCTTAAATTTACGAAACATCAGGGAACAAACCAAGGAGGAAAAATCACAAAGTGTGCGTCATACGCGAAAAATTGCGTCATATTTCAGCGCACGATGAGCAATGCATCGAATATTCTCGTTTTAAATAGCAATCTTGATTCTTGAAACATTCCCTCACTTGACCTTGCCTTTCCCTTTGTGTTCAGCTCGATCGATCTCCGCGTTGTTCATCTTATAATCGACCGAGAGAGAACAATGCGCTTGCAAGAAAATACTTCCCAGGGAAGAAAGATCATATGTGAAAATTTGTCCATATACGACTGCATACAATCAATGTGTCCACAACGAAAAAATACTGTTATTTACAAATTATAAGCGAGTACAATCGAAATGAATGCTTCTGGCCACTTGTGCTTCTGACGCCAACATGATATCGACATTTAATTAAACGACAAAGCGTCATTTTTTTCGTAGAGACATGTGTGATCGCATATATAACTACATATATGGGCCAACGTTCATGTATGATTTTATATAATTACACAGTAATCATATATAATCATTTTTTCCGGGGTTTAGAAAATGGAATTTCGTCTGAACGCAAATTGCTTGTTGATACCTCTCTGCGATCCTCGTCTGTCATCCCACTGATAGTCCAGACAGGTCTTCTGGCTCGTCTCTCTCCATCACCCGCCTCTCTTCTCCGGTGTTCGGTGGCCCAAGTCCTCATGTGAGCCTTTTTTATATTGTAGGCCATGCAGGCACAGAGCAGGAGAAACATTATGGTCAGTATCGTCAAGACGATCCACATATAATCCCATTGCAATAATATCGAGGTCACCATCAACGTCGCGACCCATGCAACCAGGAGGGTGGCTAGCGTGCGGCCGGAGCAATCTGCACCCTGAACACATCCGATTAGGCATACGCACATCGCGCAGAGAATATCGCCTGCGTTCAAGGTAAAACGTATATTGTTTGAGATATGTTGCNTGTTTTTTCTCTCTCTCTCTCTCTCTCTCTCTCTCTCTCTCTCTCTCTCTCTCTCTCTCTCTCTCTCTCTTTCCCGCGCCGCCTTTTCTTTGTAACTTCAACTCGACTACTGATAAACAACGGACGCGGACCACACGGAGCCACTTAATCGTCATTATTTGTTCGGACAGCGGATAAAAGAATGCTGATAATTGTTTCATCGCGATTGCGAGTGTCGTTATCGTGTCAATTGGCGTGAAATGGGCAGAAATTGCCGCCTGCGTTTATTAATTCATTAACCAAGGCACCATACGTACCAATAGGAGGTGGAACAACATCCTTGGATATTACGATCGATTCGACACGAAATTTTATCCTCCCAGCCGATTGGCGATTATTAATTTTATCTTACTTATCGGCAACGGTATACTTATCTATGATCACGAATATCACGGTACACTTATCTATCGCTACGAACGATCGAGAGGAAATATATGACGAAAACTCACCGTCCATATTTCTCGTTCGATGTTTCGCCGAACGATTTGAAATTGTCAGGGCAATTCGCGATCGAACACCGTCCCGATCCGAATTTACCGGTTATTGTCACTGCATCCCGCGTATTCACGACGCATCGGTGCACACGTCGTCTGCAAGTTATTCACGTTGCATAATGCGAGAGAGCCGAGAAGAATACTCGGGTCTTACGGAAGCATTTAAATTTACCGGCCGTGCCGTCACTTACCCAGCCGCTTCGGTTCTGACCTTAAAAGATAAACGATTCGCCTCATCAAGCGTCGGAGGCGAAGCGCGAGCGTATGTATATTACTGATACGAAAAGTCTCACACGTCAAATCAGTTTCTCACACGTTCGAATTTATAACGCAGGTTGCACACCGCTACTTTCGGTAATCCATGTGGAATCTGACGACTGTGTTCGGTCGACAAGGCTCGAATATGCGAGGAGCAAATGCTGAAAAGTGCCATGGCTAATTAAAATACAGACAAAATTCATCGCGTTAAACGGAAATTAAAACCAGATCACAGATTAGGGTTTTCTCGTGCGTTCATAGGTGAAAAAGAAAAGAAATGAATTTATTCATAACATTCAACGAAGAACATTTTTATTGCAATTATTGTAAAGTTTTGCCAATTTATTGTAAAACGAACGAAAAAGATGTACAAATTTTGTTGAAAAGGAATATTTTTTTTGTCTGAGTTATTGGTGGCATAAAGTGAACTTTTTAAAGAGCGAGTTTCTTCGTTTTCCTTTTCTAACATGTTGAATGCCGCGCCAATTTCATGTGACTTTCGTTCACGCCACGACGTGAATCATCGATCATCCATCCATGTTAGCGGATTTATTATGGCCAGTATTCGTAGTCAGATCTTGTATTTAAGACCGTCTTAAATTCATCTTCAGATGCTGTATGGCTCGTTTCATTGGTTACAAAACATCTGAAGATGAACTTAAATATAAAAATATAAAATCTTAAATATTATGTAAAATCTGACTGAATACCACATTCTTTAAGTGTTTCTTTACCGACTAGTGAGAGCAATTTTCGATTAAAAGACGATTTGTTTCCGATTGTTGATTGTTACTTTTATTTAACACGTTAAATGCTACGTGGATCATCGATGGCCCACATTGAACTTTTCGTTTTTTCCGAACATTCGATTTTTTATATTGTGCTATGCGCTTATATTGTGCTGTTGGATATTGTACGTTGCCTTTTCCTCATCATAATGATGATTTTTGTAGTCTTATGAATATTATAAAATACATCTTAAGTATCTTTTTATAAGATGTATTTTATTATAAAATACATCTTAAGTATCTTTTTATAAGATGTATTTTAATACAAAATACATCTTAAGTATCTTTTTATAAGATGTATTTTAATACAAAATACATCTTAAGTATCTTTTTATAAGATGTATTTTATAATATTTATAAGACTACAAAAATCATCATTATGATGAGGAATAGGCAACGTACAATATCCAACAGCACAATATAAGCGCATAGCACAATATAAAAAATCGAATGTTCGGAAAAAACGAAAAGTTCAATGTGGGCCATCGATGATCCACGTAGCATTTAACGTGTTAAATAAAAGTAACAATCAACAATCGGAAACAAATCGTCTTTTAATCGAAAATTGCTCTCACTAGTCGGTAAAGAAACACTTAAAGGATATCTCCAAATTTTAACATACAGAGAAAAAAATTGGACCAAGTAATATTTACTTGACTCAAATAATATATTTTCCGAGTAAGTTATCCAAGCAGAATATTTATATTTGATTTAATTTCTCTCCTGTGCACGATTAGTTAATTATTTTCCGAGGAAAGTTCTAAATATTGTTAGCGAAAACACGTGACTACCTGCGAGACGCTCTTACGAATTTTCTTGTATCTTCGCGATATATGCGAATATTAATATAATGTCATATAAAAATGTATTCTCAATGATTTTTCATAAAGTATGCAAAAAAGAACGATTTTTTAATAAAAAATGCATGAGAAAACCTCCTCAATGAGGCGAGATCGTACCTGAGCAACGTAGAGACCTGGGAGACGTCCGAAGAATATCGTATTGTTTCGTGCGTTCTATATACTGAAACATCTTTTAGACCATTATGTCGTCTGGATCGTTCTTGCGCATGAATAAGTTCCGATCTACAAGTACATGAGAAATTGACCAATCACAATTGATTATTCTTCTATAACTCGACTGTGATTGGTCAATTTTTTACAGCTTAAAGCCCGTATCGTACTACGGGTTAGAATTGAGATTGGATTGAAATTTGGCCAATCAAAGCAAAGTTCACTAAACTCCGAGTTAGCGAACCTTTTTCTGGTTGGTCAAATTTCAATTCAATGTCAGTCCTAATTCATAGTCTGATACGAGCTTAAGGCTGACTACTTTGTTGTGAACACCGCTTAAAGCGGTTATTGTAGCGATTATTATTCTTCTCACATTCGACTATGATTGGTCTATTTCTTAAGGCTTAAAGCACCTATTGTAGACCAGGACTATTGTGAACACTGCTTAAATCCGGATCTACATATAGATATAACAAGCTTTATGAAACTGCGTTCAGGGAAACAAAACGATCAGTGAGCGATCAATGATTATTGGTCTGTTAGATCTCTAAATTTAGGCCAATTAAATTGACAAATTACTCAATGGTTGTGCAACTGTTGTGTTTTCTGAACACAGCCATTGATTAATCAATGATTCTTCGCACATTCGACTGTGATCGATCTATCACCTTTCAATCAATTTTTTACGGTTTTACAATTTATCACACCTATTGTAGATTCCGGGCCAAAGGATACTTGCCAATTTAACCGCGTCGCTTACGTAAATCAATATGTTTCACACTTGTCGACGTAATTCGGTCACCACGTGCTGCGGTAACGCACGTCACCGGAAGGACACTCGCGTTTTGTCTTTAATAAAACTACACGCGAACAAAATTACTCGGGTAAGCTCACGATTCCACTAATCTGACCTCGCACCGTCGAAATCCAAGGAACTACGCGGCGTTAACTACGATGATTTTACGTCGACTACGTGTATATTCGCGAGGAACTCCCACTACCGGCCCCAATGTACTTATCGCTTGCCAATGGCGTGCAACGTTCCCGAGGCAGATAACGATGATTGTATGATTAGTCTAAGATAGAAAGACTCCTCCCGAATGAGATACGCGAGACTGTTGCTAGTTATCGCTCGAAATGTATATGTACGAGTCACATGTGCATTTGCGCGAAGAAAACACCGCCGAATATGATGTTAATGATGTGCGCAAAGCGAGCAACAGGTAGCCGACAACAAGATGATACAACAGGTTGATGTCGGTTGATGTCGGATTTTATGGTGAAGTAATTGTAATCACGTTTACCCGAGCTATATGAGCTCACATCGATAATTTGTCTGAAATTCATTTGAGCAATAATAGTAGCAGAAATAGTAGGCAGACCACAATGTAGTTCTCGAGATCGCTATGATATCGACACGATAACTACAGCATATTAATCATTTTACCGTTTATCGAGTTTGGGAAAGACTCGAATAATACTGTTGTTTCCGAAATACTATTGTATTTCCGAAAAATACTATTATTTATAGTATACGCTTGTGCCCGCGATCGTACTTATATCGTATAACATACGTCGTGTGCACATGCGTTCTGTATGGTAAGTCACAAAAAAGTTGCGACATTTTTTATAAATTTCGGGAATGCATCCCGTGTCCAATAGGAGATCTTGTTTCTTAGTAATTCTCAGGAGATATATTCCCGATGGAAATATTTTGAGAGATTACAGAGAGAAATATATCAACACCGTATTGATACCGTAATACCGTAATTGATATTGAAATGTACAAATACAATTCTTTCTTATCTCACATCTACGTAGCACGTGAATGGTTACGACATTTTTACCTCAGCGAATCTCGCAACGCGTTCTGCGCCCAAACAGGAAAACTTGTTACTTAGTGATTCTCAAAAGATATATTTCCTTATTGGATGCGCAATGCGTTGCGAGATTCATCTAGATGAGTGTTGCAACTTTTTATCCACCGACTTTCACTTTATCAATGCTTGCGTTCGCCGGAAAAAGCAGCTTACCAAGCGCTTTGTAATTATCGTGAATGATTGAAATTTGTATTTTTTAAATCTTCCGTATACCTAGAAGAACATGTACCGATCAAAAGGCAATAATCACAAAGCCTTTACTAAACTGCTTTTTTGCTAAATGCAGGCATCATTGTTGGGCAATGATTAGGCAGCACACTCGTCGTCTTGAAAAACGAAAAGATGGAACGAGATTATGTCATTTTTATTCGACGCGTCATCAATTCGACACTTGACTGAAATACATAGCCAACGATTTTTCGAAATTTACGCGACACGCGGGCTGAGAGCCGCGTATCCGAGCGAGTTGCATAATTCTACGAAATGTACAAAAATTCCACGCTCATTTATATCACAACTGTCGATCATATTAGAAGGATAACATAATGTCAATCAGGGTCCAAATAGATTATCGGCACTCGATGCAAACTCGTGTTTAACGCTCGCCGGCGATCGCATCAATCGTCGTAATATTTTGCTCGTACGTGAAAGGATTAATGATCATTTGGACCGCGATTAAGATCTTTCTCTCTCTCTTTCTCACTCTCTCCCTCTCTCTTTCTCTCTCTCTCTCTCTCGCCCTTTCGCATTACCCGGGAAAATCATATATGAAATTTGCCCATATATAATTATATATAATCGTATATGTTCACGACGAAACAATGCTATTGTTTACAAATGATATGCAAATACAATTGAATGCAAATACAATTAAATGCTTCTGACAGCACGTGATATCGACATTTAATTAAATGACAGAACATTATTTTTTTTTGCACGGACATATATGATCATATATGTAACCACATATACATGAGCAATATTCACGTATGATTTTACATATAATTATATTTATATATAATCATAATTATATATAATCATAATTATATATAATCATAATTATATATAATCATATATAATCATTTTTTCCCGGGTACTTTCTTCCCTCCTTCCCCGTTCTCAGTCTGTTATTTATTTAACCACTTCCTAAATATACCATAAAATAATACGACGATGTCGATGTCATGGATTCGCTTTGCTTTTTATAATTAGCAATGTACGGAGCGGGCGATATCGTGCGAGATATCGCGCCTGGTGCCGTCTTATCTCTAAGCGATGACGTCGAGGAAGCTAATAATAAGTAATTCTAAGCGAAATTGTTTACAAATTTTCTAGAACTCGCCGCGAGTAGCATTCTACCTTACGCTGTTCGAACGCAACGGACCGTGCAACGTGCTGCGCGTCATGCTAGTGCGTCGCTGTTCCGACAGAGAGACAGATCGGTTTGAGCAGAGTTATTTAGTCGATTATTATCGGAGAGATGGGAAATTTCGTAGATATACTCTATAAGCGCGTAATATCATTTAATATTAAATAATATTTCTGGAACATCAATAGATGGTTATGTGCCCACTCCTAATAATATTTGAAAAACAATATTATTTAATATATTATTGTAATATTATATATTTTTTAAATATTCACCTCTACGTATATATATAATATATATAATTGTAGTTTTTTATTTTAAGTGTATTGCGATATTAATTGCTTTATTATATAAATAAAGTCGAAATAATTTTGTGTAAAAATACGTTTTATACTAAAAAATTATACATATATATATATGTATATATATATATATATATATATTTTTTTTTTTATTTATATATATTTTCCTATATTATTATTTTATTCTTTTCTTAATATCCTAAGAACATTTTTATAATAATATCAAGAATATTATGTGAAGTGGACATATAACGTCAACGGAACATTTTAATAATATTAAAAAAATATTACCTATAACATTCTTAGAATATTAATAGGAGTATTACTCTAATATTGAATAATATTCATATAATAAGAATATTATGCGCTTATAAAGATACATATGAGAGGCTTCGAGTGGAAGGAACAGGATCGAATCGATGGCATTCGGTGAAACCGCGTTCGCCCGCGTTCGCGAGACTCGACTTTAAGGTAGCAATCGGGGGTTGAAGCGACCCATGTGCAGTATTATGCCGGAAGGATTGTGCCGGACGAAGTACAGGAAGGGCCTGTCGAGCTTCAACCTCGGTCTCTCGGTCGTCGTCGCGGCGAGCTGTCTCTTCTCCCGGCGGAAGCGGCCCTCGCGGAGCGAGCCCGCTTGGTCCTCCTGCGATGACGCGCCACTCTGCGCGTCGTCCTCGTCGCCAGGACCTTCGGCGCCCTCGACTCGTCGTCTGATGCTCCTCAGCGGGCTCGCAGGGTACGTCTCCACGTGGTGCCGGCCGCTGAGGATATTCTCGTCGCCGCAGGTGCTGAACAAGTTCATCTGCGAGCGAGAACCAACCGTAAACATCGTGTTATCGCCGTAGAGATTAGAAAACTGTGGAAATGCATGCACAGAAAGACTCTTATCTCAACGATTACGACGCTACATATATACATGGGCGTGTCTACCTGTAAGACATCGGCCAAGTGTAGACGGTGGCCCACGCCGTTGATGCCCTTGAAGTCGGCATTGCCGGAGAACAGCTCGTCGAGGCCCATCCTCTTCAGGGCCGCGGTGGCGTTCACGACCGACCGGTGACTGAACTTGGGCACTTGGAGCTCGAGGCCGTTTCGCGGTATCAGGACCTTGAGCAGCTTGTTCCAGGTGCCGTCGCGGAACGCGCTCCTCACGAGACGCTGCTCCAGCCGGTCCAGCGTGTCGCCGGGCGCGGTGTGGCCCTGCTGGCCCGGCAGCAGGAAAATCGTCGAGACCAGTCTGTCGTTGCCGCCGAGGGCGACCGCGGTAGCGTCGATACTGGGCTCGTAACCGGCCAGGACGCCCGATCGCCAAGTGGTAGCCGGGACCGGAACGAGCCTCCGCTGCCTGACGGCCGGCGAGACCGCGAAGTACAATTCGCCGTCCCGGCCGACGGAGCTGGTCAGGCTGGTGTTGCAGTCGGTCTGGAAGACGTTGGCGGAGAGAGCCGCCAACGGCGACCTCAGTGGCACCGTGTTCGTCTTCACGAAGTCCTTGATCCTGCCGCCGGTCTGCTTCCGGATCAGCAGATTCGTCCGCCTGCGCACGAGGTCGCTGATGGTGGCGAAGTTCACCTCGGCGACGAGGCCCTCGTAAAACTGCTGGGCCTGTTCCTTGTAGAACGGCATCAGCTTCCTCACCTTCATCTTGTCGGCGAAGAGCTCGCGTACGAAGGCGGCATTGGCGATGCCCTGGCCCCGGGCCAGGCTCACCGTGTCCGTGATATTCTGGAAGACCAGGTGCGGGTTGAACGTCGCCACGTCGTCCAAGCGGAGCACCTCGTTCATCTGATCGGACGTCGGACCCCGGGCGCCGAGGAAGATCATCGCCAGCAGGCTGGTCATGCCGAACGGCGAGAGGGCCAGCGACCTGGCAGTGCTCAGGCCCTTGTTGGTGGACACCCAGAAGTTGAAGGCCAATTCGTTGCAGAGCTTGGCGAAGTTGACGATGTCGGCGCTGGTGTGCTTCACGGTGACGTCGAGGCCGCTCGCGCCCTGGGACGCGTCCAACGGCAGCACGGACTGAAGCATCGTCTGAGAAGAGTCGTCCTGCTGGGTCGCTTCGGTACCCGGAGTGCGAACGTTGCCGTCCGAGCTGGACGACGGGACTTGGCTGACCGGCGGCTTCCTCAGCGGCTTCGGCGGCTTCGACGGTCTCGCCGGCTTCGTCATGACCGGCGGTGTCTGCTGCGATATGAGCGTCCACTTGTCCTCCGCGTTACCGTCCGCCTCGGTCTTCGACACGTCGGACTTCTCCAACGGCTTGTAACCCGCTGTCGGCTTCGGCGCCGACGGACGGGCCGGCGATGTCGGCCGCGCCGTGTCCGGCTTCGGAGGGTTCTCGGAATGTTTCAAGGACGCAGGCTTGCTCTCTGTGTGGTTGCTGCTACTCGGCTGCTCGTTAACCTGCGTCGACGTGGTCTTCGTCGGTAACTCGGACGTGCTCGCGAGCTCCGTCGACGTGATCTGCGTCGTCTGTTGCGGTGACGCGTTCTTGTCGCCTTGACTCGACGTTTTGTTGCCAGGCTTCGAAGGACTCGCGACACTAACCAGACTCGGTCGGGAAGGTTTCTCCTTGCCTGCGCTTGCAGCGCCCGACGACGATGCCTGCGTGGCAACTTTGACGACCGGGCGATCGGTGCCTTCCTGGACCGGCGAGGAGGGGGTCGAAGAATTAGCGTGATCGGTCTTGTTGGCTTGCACAGGTCGGGGCGTTACGCGATTGTTAGTCGTTGCGTGAGACGACGGCGGCATCGGTGTGGTCGCACCCTTATTCTTGTCAGGGGTCGTCGCGTTGCTGACGCGACTCGTATTCTGCGCAGCGTCGGAGCCGGTGGAGACGCCAGGCGACGGACTCACGGTGTTCAACGCGACGGTCGAGGCACCCGCGTCTGTCGTCGCGTTTCCGTGCGCACCGTTCAGCCCGGGTTTAGTGTCATTGACGGAGTGGCTGGAGAAATTCTGATGCACAGCGACGGTACTCGGCTGCGTTGGCCGCGACGGAGCACTCGTGAAGGACTGATTCTTCTCGCTGGAGGTCTCCACCTTCAAGCTACCTTCCGTGTGCGCCGAGAAGTTCCTGTTCCCGGTGCCGTTCCCGTCGCTGGCTGGACCGATCGACGGGACTTTCGCGAAAGACGCTTCCGTTCCGGGACTCGCTTCCGTTCTTACGATCGGCGCCTCCGTCGTCTTCGCCTTCTCCTCGTCGTTCTTCTTGTCCTGGCTGGAATTCGTGTGGAAGAGCGTTGGACCGGCGTTCGACAGCCGGACGTCGACAGTCGTCGTCGACGGGCGCTCGGGAGTCGCGGTAACACCGCTCTGCCCGGTGCTGCCCTTTGAAACATCGATGCTCGAATTGCCGAGTGAGGCCGACGAGGAGGGTATTTTCGCGGGGTCGTCGATCCTCTCGTTGCCGCCGCTCGGCGATTTCGTCGGTCTCGCCGGTCTCGTCGTTGCGGCGTATCTGTCGCTCGTAGTCAAGCTCGGCGCTTTCGTGCTCGATTCCACCGTGCTGACTTTGATGACCGGGCTCGTTAAAAGCGTTCGCTGCGTCGACGTATGCGTGACGCCACCCGCTTCTTTCGGCCGATCGACGGTCACAATTTCAGTCACGTTCTCGATGGCTTCCGCGGGTTCGGTCACGCCCGACGTTGAAGCAGCGCTCGGCCGTGCCGTGCTCGATGCGTTCTCAGCGATCCGGTCGCCGCCAACTTCCCCGAGGGTCGACTTCTCGGACGTGCTGGTCGCGAAGCCGGCGATGAGCCCGCTGGCCAGGTCATTCGCCGCGAGGCTCGACGCGTCGCCGGGCAAACTGATCGGCTCCACCGTGGGAGTGCTGGACGGCAACGGCACCATATTCAGTACCTGGTCGATCGCGGATACCGGGTCGCTCAGATCTAAGTTCATGAGGGTAACGTCGAAGTACTCCTTCGTCGGCGTGGGTCTCTTCAGGGACGCGCTCGTCGACTGCGTCGTCTTGCTGGCGAGGCTGTCGAGCGTTGGCGAGGTGACGGCCGAGGTGGCTTCCTCGGGAGACGCGGCTCCGCCGGGACTGTGTTTCTGCAGCATCCCGGAAACGGTGGTCCCGGAGGTCGCTGGAGAGCTTTCGATCAGGCTTTCCAGCGAGGCGTTCTGGATCTTCTCCAGCTGGACCCACACGGGCGAGGATGTCGTTGACTTCGAGGTCGTCGATGAGACCGCCGCAGCGCTCGACTTGACGTTCAGCGTCGTGGAGGACGTCGGGGCCACGCGATTATTATTGTTAGCCGTCGCTTCGGTCGCAGCTGGAGGCCTCGAGGAGACTCTATTGGCCTCGGTTTTCGTGCTCGACACTCCGTCCGTTGCTGCGGGCCGTTGCGTAGTGCTGGGCCCGGCGGTGGTCCGGGTGGCAAGGTAGTCCAGCGGCGGTAGCTTCGCAACGACGGTCTGGGTCTCCGCAATCCCCTCGACGTTCTCTTGGCTCGCGCCTTGAGGCGCTTCATATCGGGTGTCCGCGCTCACGAACGTGTTCTTGTTCACCGGGTCGCCGGACATGTTGTACCTTTGCTCGTAATTGCCGTGAACGGCAATCGTCATGTCCGGCAGGCCGCCCTGCGATGTGGCCGACAAGGACAGTACCGGTGGCTTCGCCTCCGCGATTTGGCTCATCACGCTCGAGAAGGAGTCGATCAGCTGCGTGGGTAACGGCTCCATGGAGATCGAGGGCTGAATCGCACCGAAGGTCGGTCGAAGATGGTCCTTCGTGTACGTCGACGTGGCCGAGTCGACCGACGGTTTCTCGGTGACCTCCGAGGAAGCCTCGTTGAGACGGTCGGTCTGCGACGAGATCGGGACGGTCGAGGTCTCGACTCGAGAGACGGAGACGAGCGTAGTCGATGTGGACGGAGAATGCGACGGGGTCTCGTTAGAGGTTTCCTCGGGCTTCGGAGCTGTAGATGCGTGGGAAAGCGGCACCGAGGCGGCGGTATTGCTTTGCGAGATTGTTACTTTATCGTCGTCCTGCGTCCCGCTCGCTTCAGCCTCTTTCGTAACGGCGAGCGAGGAGTCCTCAGGCGGCTTCGTATTGTTCTTACTCTCCGCAAGAGCGGAGTAATTTGTGCTTGAAGGAGGGTAAGAAGAAGAAGAAGTAGTCGTTGCTTCATCGGGTCCGCCGTGCGTCTGCTTCATGTCGACAGCCGAGGGAGCGGTCGACGTGGTCGTAGAATGCGCGATCACCGTCGAAGCTCCCGTTTTGTCCGCATCGAGACTCGCAGTCGTCTGCTTCGTCTCGTCGTTCGCGAGATACGCGTCCGACACGCTGGTCGATTGCGTCGAGGTCTCGGGTACCTCCGACAGGGTCAACTCCACGAACTGCTCGGTCTGACTCGTCCCCTCGGTTGTCTGGCCAGGCCGTGACCCGGGAACGATGGGACTCGCGACGGTGATCTGATGATGATGATGGCCGCTCTCGGTGGAAACCCCGACCGGGATCACGCTGAGCATCTGGAAGACCGGGCTCTCGGTGATGACAGACTGCAACGTGGACAGCTTCTGTTCCGTTAAGGTGATCACCGGAACGGGGATCATCGGTTTCTCCGAGAACCGCTCGGCCGGCGGCGTCCGCTGCGGGTAATGGATGTATTGCGGTCTCTCGGCGTGCTCCATGTTGTTGGCGAAGCCGCCATACGCGTTCGTCTGGACGTCCGGCTTCTTCGGCTCGCTCGACGTCGCTTCGTTCGCTCCGTTCAGCGCGGCCGGCGACGTGTATTCCGCGCCGCCGATCTTCTTCTCCGTCGTGAGCTGGTGCGACGATTCCGTGCTGCTGCTGCTGCTGCTTGGCGAAATCGCGTCCGTCTCGCCGGACAGTATGGAAGGCAGAATGTTGCTCCACTCGACGTTAGCGTGCTCCGGTATCTTCGGCACCGAGCCCGTTAAGATCGGCGGCTTGTCGAGCGCGCTCTTCAACACGTTCTGCACCTTCTGCACTACATCCATGACCTAAAATGCGACGTGGGAAATTTACTAAAGCCGAAACCGCAACGGCTCCGTTAACTCTTGCTACGAGTGTTCCCCACTCGTCCCGCTTTGAAATTCAGGTTGCCTCACCTCACCCGAAATCCCGCACTTGCCTGTAAAGCTAATGTGTTGCACTCTCTCGTCTCGTCCAATGAATTCCCGAACACAGCGAGATTTTTATATTTACAAATCGAATTACTGATATTATGGTAATTAATTGCCCGTTTAGTTGGACTTAACGTTAAATTTACTTTTTATCGTACTTTATTCGGATATCATCGTTACTTCATTTAATTTCATCTATATTTTTCACAATAAAACAATACATACATATAGATTTCATCCAGCATAGGCCAATATTTTTAAATATATTAAAAAAAAAAATATATATATATAATAAAAATATATTTTTAAATATATTCCTTTTCGCTTTAAATTGAAATATCGTTATTTATGTGCTTCTTTAAATCCACAATCACATATCGATAATAATATACGACAAGGGACAAGAGAGACGTTGCACCGACCTTTTTGCCACCCGTGAGGACGTCGTCGGCTTTTTGAGGTTCTTGTCTGTCTATCGCTACGTGATCCGCACCACCTGCGGCGATGAGACCTTGAATTTCCTGAACGGTCATCTGCCGCGTAATCATATCACCCTTGTCGTTGTAAGTATAAAACTGAAACTTGTCGGGCCGCAAAAGTCCGGCCGGGGAAGCGACCAGTTTCTGGCCGGACTGCGTGTCGTTTTTGCCGTCCGGCGGATGCCTACGTTTGTTGTAGTCTTGGCGGATCATTGTTGAAGTGGCTGCGCTGTAAATGCACACCGGGACATCCGTCCAGAGTATTACCACGGCGTGGCTTTTATTAGTTGTGTTATACTCGGGTATATACGTAAATCACATCTGGACGTATATATATATACACATACATACACGGGGAAAAATAATGTTGCTGTTGTAGCGAGATCATCGTTGCATATTAGTTAGCGACGACAGCGATTAATGGCTGGCATAACCAGAACGAAAACAGCCGTATGAATTTGAATGAGAAGAAGCTTGATTCGCTGTTAGAACAAAATAGTGTTTCCCTGCGTTCGCTAATTTCTTCTCACGGCAAAATAATTTGTAAGTTCGGCAAGATATATCCGGAGAATGGCAATTAGTTTACTCCCGACAAATCGTTTTATCATCGTCCCACGTAGCGACTGCATTTTGTTGCGCTGGCAAATTACTTTTCCCCGTGTCGAAGAATTGCTTGCCTATTTATTTATTCATTTTCTCATGTAAAAACACCGATGTGGGGAGTTATGTAACGACGATTCGCATATTAGCGAAGATCTGCTCGGATCTGATAAGAACGGATGTCTGTGCACGTATAATTTGCCTTAATTAGGCTCCTCATTAGGGCGCCGAAATCATCCGACAGCTCGGGAACTAAACCACGACGCGCGCTCTTTAATAAGAGCCGGCCGTACTCTTCGTCCTTTCCCCTTTCCGCATTCTCTGCTTTGTCCCTCCCCCCTCTCTCTCCCGCGAAACGTGATTTCTATCTAAATACTGTTTGTTCGTATACTGTTATACATTTTCCCTCCGTTTCATGTGGCCTCTTCGCCAAGACGTCTCCGTTAAATTCACCTCCGGGAAGAGCCGACAGCTAATTCTAATTTCGAATTATTGCCCCCAGAGTCCGTTTCACCGTACGCACAATTCTCGCGTGCGAGAGTCGGCAGGCGTGTTTGGCAAATGTTTCCACGCGTGAATACTGACCTAGGATCGAATGTGTTCACTGACACGTGCGAGCCCCGTACGTCCTGTTGAGCCGGCAGAGTCGCGCCTAACTGCAGGTGCATCCAAGATACAATTAGTGCCGGCAATAGCCAGCGTAATCGTTGCGGCAACATGATAATTCTCGATCTTCTGAAAAGGGAGAAAGATCCCATGATTGAGGAAAAACTGCTGTCATCGTCAGTCGCTTGTGCTTCATCGACTCCCCCCCCC